TATTTCCTTCAAATTTCAGTCAAACACCTTCATGTTTTCCCTGATTGCTCAAGTATTGACAAATCATTCTGTGGCCGCAAAAGAATCAAGTAGAAGGTACAAGCAATAAAAAGTAATTTTAAAAGAATAGCCTAATATAACCAGGAAAAAGTTTTCCTAAAGTACGTTTCATTTACCCATACACTATAGTCAAGCTGGATCAACCTTTTATTGATAGAGTTACACAAAAGTATGTAGTTTAACTGTTCTTACTCCTTCAAGAGGGGATGTCAGATAGCATGACACCATTGTTTGGAAGCACATGTCCGAATGTGCATCTGCAAGTCATTACAATTTTAAGAAGATTCACAAATAAGAGTCAATTGATGTTCTCTTCTGTGTTCATTGATCTTCTTCAGCCCCAGAAAGTGTGTGCTTTATAGGAGCCTCCTCTAACTTTCCAAGTAATATGGGAGGATTGCTGGACATAATATTTGCTAATGGCCTTTATATACACCCTGTCGGCTGTCACATATAGCCACTAACTAAATAGTACAACACCTGATTGCTTCTGACTGATTGATACAAATGGGTTTTCACACATGTGCTTGCTATTATATTATAGCAGCCTACACATATCAAACCATGAGAACATGAGCTGACCTGATCTTCCAAATTTGCTTCTGTACTTTTTCAAGCAATTTCTTTCTCTCAGCTTGATGGATTAGTGATGACGATCTTTTGTCATTTTCTTTTTCCAGCTGCTAGCTTACTCAAAGTTTTAGCTAGTAGTTTATGAGCTGGAACCTATGATAATTATGGTTGATGTCAATCGTCATTCAAAACTGATTCTTTTGTTAACCAAGTAGCTACGTCAAGCCACAAATGTGGAAGATTACATTTCTCGTTTATTTTCATTGAGAAGCAATATGAAATTGTGATTTGTTTTCCTAAATACTGATAACAATCTTTTTGTTTTTCTTAGTTCTGATGTTTTATGATTTTATGTACAAAACTCTAGTAAAGAAGCTCACTTAATGGTGTTAAATGAAACCTTTTTTTTTTTTTTTGCAAACTTTCAGAATCAATTTTTTATCTCGGGTCTTGCTGGAGATGAAACTATAAGCAATCGTGTAGCTGATGCTTTATACAGACGTATACGGCGAGCACACAAAGAAAATAGATGTTTCAGGGTTATAATAGTCATCCCACTATTACCTGGTTTTCAGGTAGGCATCTTCCATTCACATCGGGGACTGACTATAAGTTGGTTTTGATCTAGCTTCAAAATTACAGGGAGGTCTTGATGACATTGGGGCAGCAACAGTGAGAGCCTTAATGCACTGGCAATACCGGACAATTTCCAAGAGCAACAGTTCAATATTGCACAATCTTAATGCTCTGTTGGGTCCAGAAACCCGTGATTACATATCTTTTTATGGTCTCAGGACGTATGGCCAGCTTTCTGATGTTGGTCCCATGTTCACCAGTCAGGTAATTCTTAAAGAGCTAACACTTACAAAATCAATTAACTGCAATTCACTTATATAGTAAGATTGTCCATAGATTAGCAATTATTATCTTTGAATTGCTAAGAGCCAGTCAATGTCCTTCTACTTATTCGTAGGAAATGTTCATCATCATTTGTCAATGTTTTCTCTTGACTTTCTAATATGCATCATGTAGTATTGCAAGTTCTCTTGATCTTGATTGTTCGGACTTCGGAGATTTGGTGTTCAATTGCACCTAAAGTTCTCAAATTTCACCACAGGTTTATGTACATAGTAAAGTGATGATAGTGGATGACCGTATAGCCTTGATTGGATCATCTAATATAAATGACAGAAGTTTGCTTGGATCTCGCGACTCTGAGGTAAATCCTTTTTCTGTAAGACTACTGTTCTAGGCTTTTAGGATTTGAAGAACATGAAATCTTAGTCTCTATAAGATAGTCTTTTCCTCTTCGAGGAAGAAGAGAAACAAGCATTACTCCCCGGAATAGCTTGTCTAAGTTCACAAAGGTGGTAGGACAAATAAATATGGGGATAATTGTTAGTCAAGCAGTTATAACCCTTGCGGACTTTTGTTTGCTAGCAGTCTAATGTAGTGTACAAGAACTTGTCACTTGGAGTTTGTAGACTTTTTTCTTCGTTGAAGGAAATGTTTTAAATAGAACAATAGGAATGAATACAGCTTTTAGGGCTAATCAATGCTTTTATCCTGTAAGTAGAAGTAAAACTCTAGAAACTGCACAAAAATAAGAACGCACATATGGCGTTTACCTGCATAAATTCTGCTTTCATTTGTGAATTTGTTCATCTATCATGGGAAACTGTAAATTCATCCCATTTCCACCTTGAATTGCTGGCTGTCGATTTACATAGTTGGTTCATTCATTTATGCTGCTTATACCATGCATGCTGCTTGTGAATGAAAGTTGTCCATAGTCAAAAGATAAGTATGACCTTTCCATCTTTTCAATTGCATGAGACTGCACATATTAACTTCGACCTTGGATATCTGCACTTGAATTCTTTCCGCTACTTATCTGCAAAAGCAGTATCTTGTTCTTAGATACTTTTAAACATTTGATTTAAAAAAAAGTATTTTTAGAAAAAAAGAAAATTCTGACAGAAAATCGGTTGTTCCAGATTTGTGTAGTCATTGAAGATAAAGATTTCATTGATTCATCCATGGACGGAAAGCCTTGGAAGGCTGGAAAATTTTCTTTTAGCCTTCGGATTTCTTTGTGGGCAGAGCACCTTGGTTTACATGCTGAAGAGGTAAGTGATGTTGCAGAGTCAGACTTTGAATGCCGTTAAAACTTCCTCTCTTGGATGTCACCATATCTTCGTTAAAAATTAGCAATGCCTGAGCTCCTTGGCACTTGCCATTGTTAGCCCTGACATGCAATACTTTTTCATTTGCATATGTTTTGAGATATAGCAACTAAAGGCTATCCTTTCTTTTCCAGATTTGTCAAATCAAAGATCCCGTTGCTGACTCTTCTTACAAAGATATATGGATGGCAACTGCAGAGGTGAGACTGGTATTTCTTATGTTGCTGTATGTTAAGTGCTTAAAAGAACTACCAAAACAAGATTGTACTACTTCTTGAAAAGAAAAAAAAAGAGAAAAAATTTCTTTTGGTAGAGATGCATGGACATACTAACATAGGAAGAAAGCTTTCTGGTATAACAGCAGTTTCATTATCACTCTTCTCTTCTGGTTTTAGTTACTTAGTTGGTCTTTCTATAACTGCCCATTACCGAATATCATTTCTATGTATGCCATGTGCGAGATCTTGTCCAGACTTGCACAATCTGGTCCCCTAGATTTTCAGATTTTCATCTCAAAGCTTCAATAACTCCTTAATTTTGTATTTTTTATGTTACAGTCGAATGCCACAATTTACCAAGACGTGTTCTCTTGCATCCCAAATGATCTTGTTCACTCAAGGTACTTGACAGCCACACTATGACTTTCCACCTCTATCTTTTTCTCTTTTGTGGGGGTTGGGGTGTGGGTGGGCGATATAACTCGTTGATCTTGTTCACTCAGGCTCAATTGCTTATGTTTTCTAATGTCATCCTGGAATGCAGATCTGAACTTCGACAATGTAGGAATCACTGGAAAGATAAGCTTGGGCACACTACTATTGATTTAGGTGTCGCTCCTGATAAACTTGAATTTCACGATAATGGGCTAGTAACTGTAGAGAATACGAAAGAGAGGTTAAAGTCAGTCAAAGGACATCTTGTTTCTTTTCCATTGGAGTTCATGCGTGAAGAAGATCTGAGACCGGGGTTTATCGAGACTGAGTTTTATACTTCTCCTCAAGTGTTCCATTAAGCTACAAACTTAAGACATGAAGCATCTGTACAGCAACGAAACGTAGATATAGGCTTTGTGTGTGCGAAAGTGTACAGATATTCCTATTTGTGTATATTAGCAGCCATTGTAGGACGGAAACTAGACTGAAAATTCTTTTGTATCAAGATATCAAGCTGTAAGTCTTCCCTGGGTATTTTAGAAACCAACCATATTCTTTTAGAGTTAGTATCGGACTGGTTCCAATTAGTATTGTTTATAACTTGTACCCTACATTATACTTAATTGTGTTTTATGAAAAAAATATATATGTGAATTGCTGTTCAGATCTTCTTTACAGTTTATGGTACAGTATACATTATGCTTTCTCATGTAAAGTGTAAACATGACAATATCCCTGGTAACCCAAACCCCCAAAATCTTCACTGCGTTAACTTGCTTGCGTAACTTGAAGCTGCTATTGGTTCTGGTTCTATTTTTCTCTTCTTTTATTTTCTTTTTCATGGGAAAAAGGAAAAGAAATAAGTTGCTCGGTTAAAGCAACTTCAAATCATTGAGGCGTCATCTCATGAACAATACCAAAAACATAACAGCTTGATTTGATATTCTCCAAGGTAAATTGATTTATATTAGGAATTGATAGATTAGTTTTTCTATAATATACAAGGGTTACTAGAAAAGCAATATGACGTCCCTTTGAGCAAATAAATATTAGACACTTCTATTTACAAAAACATTTGTACCATGTTATAAGTGACTTGAGCATACCAGCTTTTATAGATTGAGACTTTTCAAACAGAAAAAAAAAACAAATTAAGACCTTTGGTTGAGAATTAAGCCTCCGGCCACAATAAGTGACCAATTTGTTTTTTTATTTTGGTCCAAAATAAGTATTCATTTATATAATCAAAAAAGTATTCAATTTATTTTTTCAAAATTACATAAGCATCTCTAAAAAGTTTTTTACTCTTCATTCACACTAACTATTTTTTTTCTAGAATTTAGTATTTTCTTAATAGCGTGTCCGATGCAAATTGGACTGGAGGAGGGAGTAATAGAGTTCGAAGCAGCCTCAAAATTTGATTGCAGTTTCATTCTGGTTTGTGAATTAAATACTAGGTGGAGCAAATGGGAATTTTGTATCCCCATTTCCCTATACAGAAAAAGGCGGGAATATTTGGCGCCATTTCATTTTTCTCGGCTGAAATTCCCCACATAAACCTCCCATTCACTTTTCAAAGTCCTTGCATTCTCAGAAACTTTTCTTCAACAAACCAAATTCCAAAAATGGCAGAAAATGATATAAACTCCCCTGAGATCAAAGAGCCTTCTCCAAAAATCCAGAAATTGGACAAACCCCAGAACGGCGTTCTCCTTGAAATCCCCTTTTTCCGAGTCAAGAAACTCTCTGAAAATGCTGTTTTGCCCTCCAGAGCTTCACCTCTTTCTGCTGGTTACGATCTTTCCAGGTTCGTTTTCAGATTTTATTTTAATTGAACCCATTTAGCAAGATCAAAAAACTTCTCTAAACTGTTTGTTTTCTTCGTATACAGTGCTGCAGAGGCTAAAGTTCCCGCCAGAGGCAAGGCTCTTATACCCACAGATCTCAGCATCGCTGTTCCTCAAGGAGCCTATGCTCGTATTGGTAATTTCCTCGACATTTTTGAAATATTTTTCCCGACCTTTTTATCAGGAAAACATTTTTTTATGAAATTAATTTCCAGTGTTTGGTTACTTTTAGTCATTTAACTTGTACACATTTTATATAAAACACTATTGTTATTTCCTGTATTACTTTGTAATCATATCCCCCATGGCACCCTCAAAGTGCTGATTTACCAGGACTGATACTTGTGTTTTCTGTTACTTTTTATTCTTTGTTTGGTAATAGCGCCTCGATCTGGTTTGGCATGGAAGCATTCGATAGATGTTGGAGCTGGAGTTATAGATGCAGACTACAGAGGGCCAGTTGGGGTTATTTTGTTCAACCATTCTGATGTTGATTTTGAAGTTAAGGCTGGTGATAGGATTGCACAGCTTATTATTCAGAAAATTATGACACCAGATGTCGAGGAGGTTGATGATCTTGATTCAACTGTGAGAGGATCTGGTGGCTTTGGATCCACTGGAGTATAAAAAAGTTTGTCCTCAACTTAGAAAATGGTGGTATTATAGTATTATCCAGTTTTAGATTTTGTAGGTTTTGGCTGTTATTTGGGTTCTACTTAGGTACTAAAAGTCTACAACCAATAGTTTGGTTAGTGATGAAGCAGTGGGAGATTTTGGAAGGTATATTGGGATCAAATGTATATCTCACTCATCTTAAATAGTAAGTATCAATTAGTAATCTACTCTTTTGTTCTATGAGCAGTCACATTCAACTCGACTATATTTGTTTTAATCAAAAGTTCTACAATTGTTACGCATATAGTTTGGTTCATTTCATTTTCCTGCTTGAGCTTGAGTGAGAAGTGCCCTTTGCTCTTGATTCCTGGCTCCAACTTTTGCCAGCCTGCTAAATGCTGCAATTCAGAGCCATATTTGTAATTTCAACACTTTGAGATAAGAACATCAAAGTGAAAATATGCTTCTTGAAGAAAGTGACTTAAAATTGCACATCGAATTAGCAACTTGATAAGCAATTGGGTTCAGCATTAAACTCTCCCACAGCTAGGGGTGGCAAAATGATTAAAAATGTTATCCACTAAAACATGGGTTGAATAATAACTTTTTAAAAATGGGTCAAATATGGATAAGAATCATATTATCCTAATCAATGGGTTTAACTTTTACACTTGTAAAGTCTTAAATTGGGTATCTTGAGACAAAATTCTCCCAAAAGTGATCACATGCAAGAAGTTAACCCTTTTTTATCCGTATAATATGAGTTGGGTCGGATAATTGAGTTGTTTTTTCATTACCTGTTTTCGACCCGAATCATATCCGACCTAACAAGCTCGTTTGCCACTCCTACCCATATAGCTAATGTGATAGAATCAGAAGGGTTGCTTGTAGAAGTTAGTGGCCAGAATAGGACTTTTTGAGTTCTGATTTTTCTAAGATACCAAGTTGAATGTAGGTATTGATATTATAGGATGTGTTAATGGTGTAAGACAAATACTATCACTATCATAGCTGTTTGAATTGGATGATTGAATTATACAAGTATAGGCCTTAAAATACTTGTTTACAAAAGGTTGCAGCAAAATTGCATTTGTTTTCTTACTTTCTTGGGCAATGACTTTTCAGCCAGACGTGCATTTAACTCTTTATTTAGTCCGGTCCTATGTTAGGGTTGTTTGGAAGTCTTCCTTGAACTTGTGGAGCTGGAAATTTTGGCACTTCTCCTCCAATTGCAGTTAGTCTTCATTGAATGTCGGCTCTTTAAACTTTAGCTTGATCATCCAAGTTGCCTAGTTCTATCATTTCTGCACCACTTGGAAGTATTCTTCAACTGAAAATAGACTATGTAAGTAGAACTTGGCAGGACCAATTAGGAAAGCCTCCTAGCATTGTAAAGCCGATACTAGCAAGAGAAATGACGGAGAAAAAGTCGAAGAACATAATCAAGGAGGTTGAAGCCTATCTCAAACCTGCCTTAATCAGTGCGTGATTGTTGTTTTTATTAAATGGAGAAAAATGGATCTGATCCATATTAACATGGCCTTTTAGAATAATATATACAATCTTAACTCAATTAATACTGCTCGGGAACTATGTTTGGTGACGGATTCAGAATTCAAATGTTATGGATTCTGAAGGGGAATGAGTTTTGAAGTTAAAAAACAAACTCTATAAATATTTGGTTCACACATTCATAGGGTACAAGCCAAAAACTTTGGGTTTTGCCGAACAACGACCCTACATTTGGATCTGCCACTAATGGTGTTTATGCAATTTTTCTTTCTGTCACAAACCATGTGGACTAGGAGTGGAGTGCATCCTCTACAACAATATCTGAATTAATGAAGTTACATCCGATAGGTTAAAGATTCAATTAATTATTACTCCATTCGGAAACGATAAATGATTCATCTTTTTCATACTTCATGTAGTAGGAGGTTCACTTAAAGAGCGCCTAAATCTAAGGTTTTATGTTAATTCTAACATGTAAGCATGTGGATGAGTTCTTGGAGGCAGAATGTCAGCAAGAGAGAGAGAATAGCTTTTGCTATTTAAGTTATTTTGGTGTAGTTACAGGGTAAATATGCTGGCAGAAATGATTAGAATGAAAGAAGAGTACAATAGCAGAAATATCATCCACAGCTATCCCTCTCCTCTTGCGTTTCCAAGCGCGGACAGCGCATTGAACCAGGCACTTGGCCGCCTTCGCTCTATCTGGAGTTGTGGATACAATTTCTACAGCCTCTTGGTTGGAGACAACATCCCATACCTGCAAACATGAAGTCTACTCGTTAGTTGTCAACAAAGAATATACAGTTAAAACAAGATAACTCGAGCCTACGTAATACAATGTTCGTTTACTGTGGCCAAGCCCTTATATTAAACTGATGAATCTCAATCAATTCTATATAATTTTTTATCTCGGAGAAATCTCCTGTGGGCTTCTGGTGCAACTTCACTTGGCACGCAGGATCCAAACTCAGGCAACTATGAGCACATCCCTCTATCATTTTCCTGACTTAATACCTAATTTTGTCCGAAACACATGATGTGCGCCTAACCAACACAAAACATGTCGTGTTTCTTTTTTCTTTGAGATAACCAAAGCCCTAGGGGCAATAACTGATGATCTATTGACTTATGCTTACAATTGTTGACCTACCTACTTTTTGTTCTATGTGCCTAATTAAGAAATAAGGTACTACTATTAGTGATGAAGACATGATTGTCCTTGTTAGACTAATTCTAAAATTAGGAACAACCCAGAATGCACAAAACATACCCCATCAGTTGCCAGCACAACAAATTGATCTTTGCTTGTGATGCGCCTTTGAGTCACATCAGGCACTGAAATTAGACCAAAATCTTTAACGCAATAGTCCCCAAAGGCTCTAGACATCGCCAATCCAGGGGATTCTTCATCGGGTAGCCATAATCGGTGCACCCCGGATTCATCATCTAAGCAAAACACTCGACCGTTACACTGTATTATCCTCTCAGTTTCCTCTGCAAAACAAACATTGAAGTAGCTTATATATGGCTGTTTTGTGTCTAGTAGAGCAGAGAGGGGTATATAGAGGACTCACGAGGTAGATTAGGCTTGAAATCAATAGTTAGCTGAACTGGTACCAAGTTGCCGTCATCACAAGTGGTAGCCAATACCGCACGCGAGTCACCTACATTTGCTATAAAAATTACCTCGCCCTGCAACACAACGAACACCAATCTAATTAGAATATAGCTTATATATATTGGCATTACAAATAATTAAGCAAATATTCTTGATCGCAGAACTGCGGACTATGGAGTATATTTTGCTATATAGACATAAAAAGTTATGAATCTTTATCTTCATGCCCATCATCCAAAAGCTAAAAAAAAGATAAAGTAAAAACAAAAAAGGATGCTGGCTTTGCTATTTTTCAGGGTGAACATGCCAAACAGTTCTAGAGAAAACATCATTTCGCCTACCATTTCCGCACTCAAAAAGAGAAAGGGGTAAAAAAAAGAACTGACATACACTAGTCTTTATTGGCATTGCAAAAGAGCTCCCTTTACACATTGAGAATACAATAATTCAGTATATTTCTTACATTGAGTCTCAGTTCTAACTAATTTAGCAAGAGGGACATCCAAAAAACACAGTATGGATTTACAAAACAAGGTTAAAAGCTTACACTTTACAAGGCCAAGCTGGTAAAAAAAGGATAACCACACAAGAATTACAACACTGATGATTCCCAAACAGGAAGAGGGAAAAAAAAACACTAGAGCTAACAGAATTACCTGTCTGACTATTGTCAAAGCAGTGGTTCCACTGTAAAATGTATCTATCTTAGGATGATGTTCCAGCTCTTGATCTACAGCTGCACATGCCTTTAGGTATGAGTCCTTCCATATATTAAACCTTTGAAGTTTCTTATCAGAATCTAAATCTAAATCTGGATCAACTGAAGCCTCGGCTAGACTCTCTTGCCAATTGCAAAGCAACGATGATACTATCGATTCTCGAACCTTCTTTGCCACAAAATGACCCCATGGACCATGCCCATCAAATATACCACAGAATATCATATCTTCTTGGCATCCAAATTCCTGCCATTCCCACAATGACAAAAACAATCGGTTAGGATATAATGTTGAGACATTATAGTTTCAATATAGTTTCAAGACGTAGGTCCTGAGTTTGATTATTTACTGTCACCCATTACCAAAAAGAATTTACCAAAAGCTACTGCTACAATCATAGATATCACAATTAAAAAGATCCACAGACTAGTATAAAACAAAGAGGAGATTTAGTAATCATAAATAGGATAATAGTGGAAGCATACCTCCCAAACAATGAAGCAATCTTGATTCACTCCTTTTTCACCTCTCCTAGAGAATAATGAAGTAAAATTCTTAGAGCCAACAACATTTACTGTCCCTGAAGACCTTAATATCAAGTCATTTTTCTTGGCTTCTTTAGCCATAGCTTCAACAGCTTCTCTACCATCATATTTCCCATTCCCAGTACAGTTCTTTCTTTTCTTCAAGGAAAAAGACCTTGCCAATCCATTAAACATTGAAGAAAAATGCCCCATTTAGAGCTTAATCCTTAGCTACTCAAATATGAAATACCCCTGCAGCAGAAAGCCAAAAAATTCTTGAGTTTTATAGGGACAACAACCCTCAATTAGGCGTATCATATTTAGTAAAAAAGTGACTAATATACACATACACCATCACATGAAGCCAAGTAATTGGATATACTTAGCTGAGGTAAAAAGAGATGTGATCTGACTCAGAAAGTTAAGCATCTGAAGGTTTTAAAATACAGAAATATCCAAAAATGATGAATCTGAAGTGAGAGTAAAGAACCTTTTAACAGTGCAAGAAAAGCAGAGAATATTCAAATTCCAACTTGGAATTCCATCAGAAGAAAAATGTCAGAAGAATGAACAGACACCCATCAATCCACTAAATCTATAGAATTCCACCTATGGTATTTTTGCATAAAAAAGACAAAGACAAATGCGTAACACTTTAAAAAGTTTGTCCTTTTTTACCGTTCTCTCAATTACCAAACAGAATTAGATAAGCAGAGGACTTAAATAACTCCTATAACAACCAAAACCCAAAAAGCTATGGAACAGACTATTAGAAATTTCAAAAAGTTATTGTTCTTCATTTTTATGGTAAACAAAGAAAAAGAAATTTTCCCAGAAATGAAAAAAACTTGATAAACCAAAGAACACCCGTATGTTATTTGAACTGACAAAAAGGAAAGACCATGTGAACCACCTTGGTTAAAGTTATACTTCCGGTGGAATATGGTCGGAGAAATGAGTGTTCAACTAGAACCAGAGGAGTTATTGAGGAGACTGAAAAGCTGAAAAAGATTGCCGGAAAATGACGAAATTCCGACGAGGTGAGCTGAGATTTCGAGAGAAAATATGAGAATCCATTAGAAGATTACGTTGGTAGATCCTTTTAAGGGAAAGAGAAGACAAGTTAAGAGGAGTTTGGTTATTGTGTACAGTGACATACACGGAGTGTACGTTAAACATGTGGTGTCCATCTTCCTTCGTTCCTGTAGTTCTTTCTTAAATTATATGCACATCTACTCAAATGTCTATATTGCCCTGGATTTCGTCAAGATATTCTTTTTCTCTCATTATTTGGCCATGACTCACTTGCAAATATTGTTTTGAACTCATAAGTTCTAAACTCGAATATTTAGGTGAACATTTTATTTATTGATTCTCAAAAAAGAAAGGATACAAGTAATGATGTTCAAATCTTATTTTACTTGTCCTAGTGCGAGGAAGATAGGCACTGTACTTTTTATATATGTTAACATTGGCGGAGCCACACAGAACCCCTCCGCCAGAAAATTATGCTATATTACTGGATAATTTTTTTTATGTATATTCTCTATACGTTCTCCTTTGGCTTTTCGATATAGCTAATTATTTATATTTGACACATATTGATGAAAGTTCTGGTTCCGCATATGGTGAGGATATCAAACCATCCTACTCACTTGCAATATTGAAATCATTATTTGTAAGTTGAAGCTTAGCTATCTTTATTTTAGTATTTGGAATAATGGTAAAAGCTTATTTAAGAAGTATTTTAAGTGAAAATAATATTTTTTACCCATAAAATTTAAACTTTTTAAAATAGAAGTCATGTGCAAATAAATTAACATCAAATGTTTTGCAAACTCATACAAGTAATTTTCCACGCACACAAAGAAAAAACTTAATTTCCTTCCTTTGATTTTATATGATGATATTTAAATGTAGAAGATATTAAAAAAACCTTTAACGCTAAGTACTTTTTTCTTTCATCTAAAAAATTAGAAAAGATTTTGACATGCATGTAGCAACAGTTGATGCCTTTTGTGAAGATTAAGTATGATTTATTGAGTTTTAACATTCTCGTTAAAAATAATGGAAATCTCATTTTTCATAACATGATGGAGTCATGCATGTAGGTTGTCAAATACTTTGTTATAATCAGCAGAGAATTATTGAATATGCATTATTTTCTAATTATTTATTTTGCCATTCAACTCACCATGTGAGATAAGGGCTGAGATACAATTTTTTTAATCCTTGTAAGCTGTCAAACTAAAGTTTTTTCTCATAAAACGAAAGAACAATTCTAACTAATGTCGAACAAACAATTATAAAATGATTAAAAGATAGAGATGTTCTTTAAATAAAATACGTGGATAAACTTGGAAGGCCAAACAAGATTGAGTCAATTAATTGATTATTTGGCTGTCCACATCGCAGAGTCTTCTATTATTATTTTTTATAGTTCAAAAATAATGCAATTATGTTGATATGATTAATTATTAGGTGTTGGTTTAATAACTTCTAGTAATTATTTGAAGCACAAAATTAGAGTTTTGTCTCCAGATGGCATCTGTAGAGATAGCTGAAGGTTAGCCAACAATTTGATGAATTAGTAAAAGTTACTATAAAAAGGAAATAAAAGGTGTCCAAGTAACAGCAACTGTCTTGGCCTAGAAAATGATACTATAAAATGTAAATTTCATTGCATCCAATCACAGGGCCGTGTAATAGGCGAACATATAATTGGTCGAAATTATTTTTAATTATTTATGTTCTACTATTGAATAGGATAGTCGTTTAGGGTAAAAATAAGAAAAGGAAAGAGCTTAGTAAGATTCAAATGTAACACCTGCAGCTATAACATATTCGTATATAGTAATAGTACTAGTAGTTTTACAACTAAGTTACCAATCAACCCTTGGTTTGTATTGCGCTTGCGCTTCTGACATAAGCAATAATGGCGTAGGAATGAAAATCTAATGCGAAAAAAGAAAGAAATAAAAAAGGGAGTCATGTTCATTGAATTAATCGGAAGAAAAAGAGATGTAGCTACATTATCTTCATGCTTAAACTTCCATATTAATTTAGTAAATGAAATATGACGAAAACATCATTAATCCAGTAAACTTAAGGATATTACACCAGTTTTATAGCATAGGGGGAACTGGGGTGAGGTTTGAGTAACTAAATGAAGCATCCAACAATTAATCAAAATAAGATACTAAATGTAACGTATCAAACCACAATGAAGATATGTGCTATAAAAACAAATCTTAAGAAAAATCTCTAAAATTATTTTTGTATATTATATAATTTTTTTTAATAATAGTGGTGTCCGAGCGAGCTTGCACGTACCTCGACAAATTCCACGAAATACATATCACCTCTCACGAGCAACAATTATCAGGTAACTCTGTCGACCAAAGGCTTGGACAAATGGGAAGAAATAACCTAGTATTTTTGTCTCTACTAGGGTTTGAACATGAGATCTCATGGTTCTCCACCCACTTCATTGACCATTAGACTATACTCTTGAGTTTATAATATATAATTGTTTTATCAAATTTAGTTTTCTAATCTCGATACGTTGAGTCCCACATCAGGTGGGAGTTAAATAATGGGTCTCCTTTGGCCGTTTTCAGGAAATTTCATGAACTAACTTTTGGGATCGAATTAGGCACAAGGTTATTTTTTATGAAATGACCAAAACACCCAATTGGGTAACGTCCATAATAATAATTCTAATAGAAAATTAAATAGGGAAAAACAGTTAAAAAAAAAGAGAGGTAATACCCCAAGGACTGAAATGCAATTAGTCCAAGATCTAGACTGAAGCGGGTAGCGGTGGGGTCGGGGACCCGGAATGAGATCCGACAATAACATAGGACCCTCCTCTTGTATTATGATATCATTATTCATTTTGTGCGTAGTATCGTTTTCAATGTGCATTTTTGCATGTGGACCACAATAACGTAGGACCACACTAATGTTCGAATGTGTACAACATCTTTGACAATTATTCAGAATTCCAAATATTGAGGGCCTCCAAGATCGAAGATATTAATGGCAAACAAAAATCAGTTGTTCCTTGGTCAAAATTAATAAACAGTTCAAATAAATACAAGCACACCTAACAAATGCCGCAAGAATTGATAATAATAATAATGAAAATTGAAGACTAGAAATCAAAGTTTAGCTCTTAAGTTTTGCACAATTTTCTTCAATCGATAATGTCAAAAAAATTGTGCACACAGTTTATAAACCTTTTACTTCAAACTATAGAAATATATTTATAATATTTGCAGAATAGCAATTATGATACAACTAAAAGAGATGCGTGCCAAAAAGGTGAGACATGACATTTAATCTAAACTCCTCTAAGAACTTCTAATTAGATTATCTTTCCTTAATAGGAAACTTCATTTCTTGGAGAATATAAAATTTACAAATGGACATACTGTAGTTGCCAAAGGGGAAATATAAAATGTGCCGATTACGAAGAAAGAGATATTGATCAACTACGAAATGTGTGGAGGAAATAGAAAGGTCGGAAAGAGGGCCCAATGTGCTTACTTTACCTAAAAATTAATTTAGTAGTTAATTTAATTGATGTCACTTTGACGACCAATTAAAGATTTTAACTAAAAATTGATGAAAGTGCAATTCCTTTTATTTGGCTTAGATGGTCACACTCTCCCATCAATGATTTATCGTGGACCCTAATATTTGTCACTAGATTCGGTGGGTCGGTAACAATTAATCCAACCCAACCCCTACACAGCTCAACAAATTAAAACTTTTATACTTTCTAAAATCATAATGAGAAGTGTTTGTTCCATAATAATAGGAATAAATAGAGGAACTTCTTTGTTTTGTCTTTTCTTTTTAAACTTTTATGCCCATGGGTAGAATTACTATTTCCTTTAATCCACAAGAGAAAATAATAAAGTAAAAGTAATTTTTTGTGTGGACGAAGAATAGATTTTTTTATTCTTAAGGTGGAATTGGAAAATTATTTATAACACAAAGTTAATTCAGACGTATTTTGTGGGCAGAAAATAATATGTTTAAAAGTAGTAACTTTTTTGTGTGGTTCCTGATTGATTAATATTTGAGAAGGAGAAAGAGATGGTGACACGTAAGCTGCCAACAATCAAGTGTGGCCTCTCGATCTACTTCTTTCCAGCATTGCAAAATTGACCCTTCATCCTCCTCTTTCAGTTTAGCGACCCAGAGGAAGGTATCGGGTTCATCTCAATCAAAAGTTTATGGGCTTGAAATTTCTTGATTCATAAAAATACGAGAAAAGTGTTGACTAAGTATGATAATGGTATAGGAATAACAACAATAGGCAAGTGGAAACAACTTCTTCAGATCGAGGCTCTCATATAAACCTTTTGGCCATTTACATCGATCCCACCTTTTAATTTGGCCATTTACAACAATAGTTTCATTTTGATAATTGCAGTAAAATTATTAAATTATAGAATAAGGGTGTCATCTATCCATTGGAGGGGGTAGTTTGCCTTTCCACGTCTAATTAATGACTTCCCCCAGCCGCAAAACGTGCGAAAATTGTACGCAAAAAGATCTCTTTGGAAACTTGCTGATATAATAAACTGTGCGCCAAGTGCAAATTTAAGTCTGTTCATAGCTCATATATTCATTAGCTTTCCATTTTAATTTGTGTATGTTCTTCTTTAGAGCAGATCTAAAAGAAGTAAAAGCATATCTAAACCACCTCCAACATTGTTACCTAAAAACGAAAGTTTGTCAAAAGAGAGATGCTTCCACGAAGCTGAGGCAAAAACTTGGCCCAATCATACATTAGCCAATGCAAAATGTACAACTTTTGATGCGGGATTAATCATCATTTAATTTGGTCATCAACCACTTCCACGTGAAATGTCGGAAAAGTGAAGAAGAATAAGGACACGCGGTGAAGCAGTATATAGCTATAGAAGGACTTGACTGATGACAGGAATGGATATTATCCAAGGCCATGCATCTGCTTCAAAGACAACAGAGACAATGACAATGTAATGTATTACCCATACTTTCTTTCACTACACACACATGTAAAAAGATTATATTCTAATGTATACGTGTCGCAACTATTCACAATACAACATATAGTCTTTGAAAGTTCTCACGTCTTCGAGTTTTAAATAGCAAAAACAGTCCCATTACACCACAAAATATTGAATAGAGTAATCACATTA